ATGTTTTGTGCCATGTTGCAGACATGCAATGTGTATTTATCACATTGCCCCAAACCATCAACGTAGTCCTGTGAGCTCAGCATTTCACATTCCTTAGACTTTTCATATTAATGTATTATTAAAATACATTAATTGCAATAACTCTGTGATTTTTTTATAAACCTCCATTCTCAAGTTCTGTCATAGTTTCTCTGATGTTGTAAACAATGCTGGTGTGATAAATCTTGTTCTCACTTTAATTCTGGTAAACCAACAGGTACGACTCATTTCTCTGATCCATTTCAGAAACACCAAAAATGCCCTCTTTGAACACAACTTAGCAGACCTTATGGACACCATTTAGAGCACTCAAAAGGATGGTTATTGACAGCAGAATCCTTTTGTTGTAAGGTAATGTTGAGAGAAGTATTCCATTATTGGTTTTCTGACCAAGTGAAGTAAGTCATTTGTGCAGTAGTCCATAATGTACGATGTGAAACTTATGAAACAGGTAGACCTTCAAATTCCAAGAGCTGTTGGAGAATGTAGAATGATAAAAATTAGATAGTGAGTGTATAAATAAAGGGTATAAAAGGAGTCTGTATGCTCATGCCACATTGGTTTACTTTTTGATTTTTGTCTTATATGATAACATTTTAATTGTTTATATTGCTTACTGATGAATATTCTTATGCAAATAGCAATTTATCATAGGTGATCTTATAAAAAATATTCATATTTTGTTATTCTAATTTAAGGCCTAAGACCTGAGATCCCATTGTTGAAGCATGTTGTTGTAACATTAAGGACCACATTGATACTAACGATCCCATGAAAACAGAAGATAAAATCAGCTGAAAATAAAATAAAGTAAAATGAATATTTTTTAAAAAGAAACAAAGCTATATTTGTAGTCCAGAAAATATAATTGCCTAGAAAAATACACAATTATATTTTAAATGTAGAAAGAGTATATGTGTTAGATTTCAGGAAAAATTTACCTTGGTTCTTACCTCTCAATCCTGAAAGAACTCATGCAGTAGAAACACTTTTGTAAATCCTCGTAACTTTTATGAGGGAAAGTGAAGTGTGTGGTAATACAGAATCCAAAAGTACACGCTAGTTCTGGAAAGCGTGGAGGGCCGCATGGCAGGGGACGTGGGAAAGTTCGTGACTGAAAATGGCCATTTTTGTACTGTTGTGACTTGTGTGTTCCTGTGATGCTGAAAGCTAGGTCACCCTTATTTCAAATGCAAGCAGGGTCACCCAGAGTGAGCAGGGTTATTTGTGCTTCCAGACTGCGAACAGACAAGGAAGACAAACAGGCTGCCCACTTTAGAGAACTTAGCCTCTTAAATCTACTGCTTGTCAGACACCGAAGACCTAATAAAGAGAGCATATCGTTGTCAGAGACAGTGCCAGAGGATGGCCCTCTTAGGCTGCAAGGCACCTGACATGTGAGTTAGCAGGAGCTGCTCTCATGGTAGAGTGGACCATGCTGACAGGAAGGGAACAAAGCCTTTGAGAGTAAAGCCTTCTGGATCATTATGCGATGATGGGACACAACTCAAAAGGATCAGTAGTTGCAAAAATCTACTAATAATCAGGATTTTTAATGTACATAGTATGAATCTAGGAAAACTGGAAGCAGTGAAAACTGACCGGAACACATGAAGATGTGTTTCTTTATTGCTATACTGTACCCTAAGTAACTCATCTCCCCACTCCCCCTCTGCAAGGTATGTCCAGTTGTCTAGAGATGGGCATTGGGTCTCCATC